AAGTATACATTTTATATCTTTGTGTGTAGGTATTGTTTCAGAAAAACTTGCGCATTTGCAATCGCAATAGAAGAGTAACGATTATAAAAAAAAAATAAAAAAAAAATAAAAAAAAAAATACTATTAAAAGTCCTTTACACATGTCCTTTTTGTGTCCTATACCATTGTGTAAAAAAACTCGAGAGAACAGTACCCACTTTCGAAGAATATAATGAGCAAGTGAGCAACGAGTGCACGCACGAAATGTACTCGTATTCGGTATTTCAAAGAACTCTTTATTTCTCTACGAACTCGAATATTGCAAAAGTTATCCTACCCAGTGGTGTGCGTGATATGCAAGACTGGCTGGATGAATATTAGAGTTATGTGCGAAAATGTTTTGCGGAATCTATTTAGTAGGTGTGTGTCGTCGTAGCTTTTCCTTCTTCATAGCACCCGCCTTATCCATCTCATTTTTTTGTACCCGATTTGTATCCATTTGTAGCCTTCTTAAATAAATTTCTAAATTTTTCCTTTTACGCAAAACTGAATTCCCCGTTCGGGTGCTGTAACAACGTCGTAGTAGCCCCCAGCGCGTTACATTTAGGCAAATTGAAAATCAAATATTCTTAAAAACAATAAGTACATCAGACGATGTGTGCTACTACGACGTCGTTACAGCACCTGAGCGGGAAATTTGATTTTGCGAGGGATACAAATTTGTATAAGAAGGGTACAAATGGATACAAATCGAGTACAAAAAAATTATATACATAAAGTAGGGGGGTATGATAATTTACGGGTGTTCGATGATGCACCTTTATTTAGTAGGTGTTTAGGTTTAACTTAAGTGCACCAAATATCGTTCAATTTTTAGCATATCAATGAATTTGTGTCGATAGATTATTACTCGACGCATTAGATTAATATATTTTCATGCTGTGAAATAGTTTTCCAGTACTTTATATTTTTAAAAACGTATTCATTGTATTTCGTTTATTATCTAAGTACCCATATTTTTTTAGTTTCCTTTTTGCCTTTTTACTGATACTTAAATAATATCTAAATCGATCATGCTCTCGATGAACTATTTTATGAGGATCTAAGTTAAAATATAAATTAATAAAAAAAATATTTAAATAGTAAGTAAAATACGAGTAAATTGAAATCTTACAAATACGTTTAAAATAGTTTTATACTACCGTAATAAAGTAATCAGTGCATATTTATTAGGTGTATATGATACAAATAACCAAATACTATAAAATATATATTTTTTCATCTATAAAATACGAAATATTAATTTCTGATTAGCCATACCGCTCCACGCGAAGCAAATTATTTTTTCAATGGTATCATTTCAGTTTTTCATAGAGTAAGGTATTATAAAAGTTTTGACTTGGCAATTCATTTAACTAAAGTGGAGATTAACGTGTTGAAAGGAGACGTCAAACTGGTCCAAAAATATTATGATTTGTACTTAGTACATAAATACTCGAGTAGAACACGTCTTCTTTTTCTGATTTACAACATGGATTTTTAAAGTAAGTATTTATATTTTGATATCATGCCGATTTTAGAAAATCTAAATTCTAGACTGTGGTAAATGCGTGATTTTCCCTTTCACTTCAAATTATACCACTGCCATAATAATTCCTATCGATCAATAGTTATGGTATGAGATTGATGTTGAATATATATGATTTTATTTTAATAATCGAAATTCGAAAAAATATGCATTATACGCCTGATTCTTGATTTACGAGTATATATACTTAATATATTAAATTATTTATCTTGAAATTTTTCTTTTGCCATTATATCGGACGTCAATATAATAATATGTACGGGATGATGAGCAGCAAAAAGAATAATTAACATCTTAATGAAAAAACTCTACGTTACAAAAACGTGATTTCCAATAAAAATAATATCAATAATATCCAATTATAAAGGTACATTTGTATAAGTGTATTATATATACTCGTAAATTAATAATTTATATAATGGTGTTTATCTTAATAATTGTTATTATATAATAATGGAGTGTGGATTTAAAATTAAAAAAACGATTTTTTACAAGTAAATACATTTTGCAAAAGATGTGGTTTCATTAATATATAATTAAAATAGATACATATAGAACTATATACGTGTTTTAAAAGATAAACATACCTTGACAACCACCGTGTAATGGATGATCTAGAGTGTTACATATTTATATGGACATTGTGCGCAAAAATATTTGTAGTCTCGAGACTTCTTTTTCCTATTGTTTACTATACATTCTGTAAACAAATTCATGTGTATGTATGCCAAGTATATATAACTCATATCTTATACAGCTTTACACTTGTAGTCAAAACTATATTTAACAAACTTGATGGTTTTTTTTTTTAATACATTTTTTCAAATTAAAATCCTTAATGAAAATGTCGTATATTTAAAACATACATTATCAAGCAAAAGTTGTTGTTGTGTAGAGGTTTTTATTGAATAGATATTCGACTTTTTTAAAGATTGTTCATAGACGAAACTATATCTAATTGCGTCAAATGTATTCCAAAAATATAAAAATACTTAAACGAGTGTCTAAATAAATTGGAGTTAAGTGGTAAATAAGTGTTTGAATTAAAACATAAATGTGTTCGAAAACTATAAGAAATATACTATATGGTCCATTCAAATTAGACGAAAATTGAGCATCAGTTCTCAAAAAATCCTACCGAGTTGAGTTAAGTCACACGCTTTTATAACATCGTTATAAAAAATGGGTAAAAAATCGATTTTTAAAGTCAAAGGTCACAAAAATTACCTTTTTTTTTAATATCTCACTTTTTATTGGTCATACCATAAAAAGTTTTAAATAAAAATTATAGAGTGAGTATTATATATAAAAAAGGTTTTAATTTATTTTTGCATAAAATTTACAGTTTTTGTACCTACAATTACAAATTTTTTAGAAAATATGATTTTTTTTTATTAGAAACAAATAGCTTCTGTGTTAATATTTCACTTTATACTGGTTGCATATAAAAAAGTTTTAAAAAAAAATTTTAGAGTAAATAATAACCTACAAATTACTTTATATCTATATATATATATATATATATATATATATATATATATATATGTATACTCGTATATCTATGTAATCGCATGCGAATGCATTCTTACTATTGTTGTGTACGAGTAATCATAATATTTTTTGGTGTATATCGAAATTCGTACACCGCATGTGCGATTACATAAATATATAAGAATATACAAGACGTTATTTGAAGGTTATTTTTCCTGTACAATTTTTATTTGAAATTTTTTCGATACAACCAATATAAATCGAAATATTAAAGCAGAAACTATTTATTTATTTTTTTTGGCAAAAAATCTTATTGCTTAAAAAAATTTGTTATTTGTAGACCTCATTTCATCATCAATCAATCAATAATTATTTTGCAAATATATCAGAACACTTTTTTTGGAGATAATTATCTTTTCTATAATTTTTGGTTGAAACTTTTTATGATACAGCAAATAAATAGGAAGTTATTAAAAAAAAAAGGCCAATTTCGTAATTTTAACCTAAAATAATCTTACCTTTGACATGCACTTGATTTCGAGATCGACTTTATACTGTATAAAGTCGACCTCGAAATCAATTATATATTTCAAATATAAATTATACATATTGTTTACGACTAAATTATGTAGGTGTGTGCCAAAATTCAGCTTGATGGAATTTTTTTCCAACTGAAAATCTAATTTGACTGCGCTATCTAAGAATTTACTAATCAATGATGGAACTCGAGTATCATTATGACTCTAGAATACTCGGTTCCATTATTATATTTTTATTTCAATCATGTTGGTATAATAATAACATTAATAATATTCAGGACACTTAAATTTTAACAAAGTTAAAAAAAAAAAAAAGATGAAATATTATTTCGAAATTAGAGAAAATTATATTAGAATGATCTTTAACTAATAATATTCGTTTTCAAACGTTAATACTTCGATACTATTACGTTTATACGTTTATCAAGTATGCTGAATTATACATATAATTGATCTCGAAATAAATGCATTTAATTAAAAGTAATTTGTGACGCTTGAACGTTATAATTAGTGCTGACTATTTCAATTTTTTTCGATGATATTCATAATTTACAACAACCCAAATCATTAAATGTGTATCTTAATTAGATACCTAAGTTGATTGATCATAGCCACGGCTCTTGTTCGACATTGGTAATTATCATATTACGCCAATGAACCAAAAGATTTCAGAAATGGTGATATGTGTGACCGCTGTGGTGAAAAAAATAAATAATGTCGTTAATCCATCACAATTAAATTAGCGGACACGATTATATTGTTAAACACGATAAATTACTGTTCGAAACTGTTCATATTATAGTGAGTTGATTGCGATTTGTAATTATGGCTCCTCTGTTTAACTGAAATTGATTAACTAAAACAATTTCTGTTTTTTTTACTAGTTGAATAATTATTATATATTATTATATTAAACGTTTTTATATTTTAATTAATTTACACTATATAATTATATTATATTACAAATATAATATTATACACGATAATTTAAATTCATTTAACTATTATAATGTTATAATGTTAACCGTAATTTGATGATACTTAAATGAAAATATAATACATACGTATATGTGCATAACATATAGATACCTACTAACGTTTGATAAAACCGTAATTACACCTCGCACTACTACGAGCAATACGACTATATTTCTAATTACGTTAATTAGTAACGGCAGATTAATAAATATAGTAAATGTATATATATATATATATATATATATATATATCCACATATCAGGGGTGGTCAACGGGTATGCCCTATGGTATCGATGATTTGTTGTGGGTAAGAGCCAAGAAAAAAAAATGTTTATCGTTAAAACACAATTACCATTGGTTAGATCTCGCTGCAACAAGAGTTACAAAAATAATTAAGTGTATGTTTGATATTGTTTTGAATCGATTGCACTTATGTGAATATGAACCATCGATGAAAACTTGTGTAATTATATTTGTGGATCGCAGCTGATCAGTTGTTGTTGTACCGTGTTTGCGCGCGAATAACTATACATGTACGTATACGTCAGTACGTACCGATAAGATATTTGGACATCGAAATTTGTTTATTTATTCACGCATTAAAAATAATTTATCTTTATTTTTTTTATTTTTATTTTTTAAATAAATAAATACTCAAGTGTAACCTATAAATGTACACTCTTTTTTTACATTACAGGATGATGTTCGTATCTAAATTACTTTATGCAACTTTCTTTTACGTGTCAACATTGAAGTGTTCTACATCGGAGTCAACAGAAGTACCGTTTAAGTGAGTAAAATATCAAAACATTTTATTCTTAAAACGTATTTACAAAATATATATATCATTTGAATATTAATCGATTAATTAGTCTATAGACGACATTTTAAAATTTAAATAAATAAATAAAATACACGAAATAAAATTTTTCGTAACTGCACGGAGACCTTCTTCATAATATTGTACATTGTACAGTTGTATATACCCGCGAGAAGTCGTTCATAACTTGTACATTCAAAATAAATATTCAAATTATATATTCTATTATTATGTAATGACTTCAAGTAGTAAGGTATTATAATTTATGCGTGTTTGTACATTTAATCACATTATTTATTATACAACCTATCAATAATTTTATACTTATTCGATGTTAGTAAAGCCTGTTACGGTAGGTAGTAATTTCCAGTGGTACCTACTTTTTAGAATGAAAAAAGTTTAATTTAGAATTTTTATGCTACATTTGTTTTTTGATAATAAATTGCGCTTTTTGGCGATTCGAGATCGTTATAAGTTATCATATTTATTTAACAATCACTATACAAATGGTCTGAAATACAATGAAAATAATTACTTTTAGAAATTCATTAAATTTATCCAAATTAAAAATATACCCGCGAATACAGTCAACCCGATGTCACAAATTACGATTTGAGTATGTTTCTATGTTTGTATGATGTAACAATCTAAAAAAAATAAGTATTTTATGGATTTAAATAAAACACTATTAACAAAACATAGAATATTTAATAATAACAGAAAAAAATATTTACAAGCAGTCACCAATATAATGATGAAATGATACGATATAAACTATATTTTGCAGGTATGAAAATATTAAATCGGACAAACATATTCTTGATTATTTATTGAGTCCTGGAAAGTATGACAAACGATTATTGCCGTCGGTACAGGGTAAGTAATATTGTATTAGTATACGATACTATTAAACTAGTAGAACAGATAAAATATAGTGTAATACGCTAATGTGATCAAAAATAAATTACTAAACACCATAAAATATTAATCAAATAATTTCTATGAAAAAAAAAAAAAACCAAAAAACCATTTGAAATAAAAGAGTGCTTTTTGAATTTAAAACTATAAAACTAATTACTAATAATTATGTTGTTTAGTGCAAGAGTAATATACACATAATGTTTAGGTTTTTTTTTTCTAATAATAAATCTTTTCGTCATGAAAAAGTATTAAACAATACCTATTACCACTGTTTTTGTAATTACTGTTGATTCCATAAAAAGTTAATTATGTTAGCGAGTTTAATAATTCAAACATATATTTTTACCAAAATCTCGTATAGACTATTAAAATGTTTAGTTATGTACATATTTTATTCATAAATATATCATATGCGGAGAACTTTTCACCTCTATACAAACTAACTAGACGGGGAAATGTTGATAATAATAATAAAGTATTAAGTAACTCTTGTAATATATTTATATAAAACGAACGGAATAGAATATAAAATTGTTATCAAAACAAGAAAAAAAGTGCATTCATATCATAATAATTACCTACAAAAATATTTAGTAATTATAATCTCAATTTTTTTTTTACGAATTAAAACTGTATCGGGCTTGGAAGTTGTAAAGTTCAGGAACACATATACCTAGTTTATAGTTGCACCCAGTGGCGCCGAACCTTTTCTATACTACTGGGGTAAACCATACTTATGGGTGCCCATCTATTTACCAAATAATATTAATTAAACAATAAGTATTATAAATCTGTAAACTACAAGTAATTATTTGTTATATAGTAATTACATAAAATTATAAAATATTTTATCATACAATAATAACAATAATATAACTAGCACTCAATAAGTCATTTATTCATTCACCACCTAAAAAAGTTCTGGCGTATTTACCCCATTTGCCATACGTATTTGGCGTCACTGGTTATGTACTAAGAAACAAATGATAAATATTAAACCAAAATATAATATGATAACATTTACGTGACTACATTTTTTTGTACCCGCGGTTGCTGTATTGTATTATTCATTTTTATTTTTATTCTTTTATTCTTATATACAAATTTTAGAGTTAGGTTAGTATTAGGTTATATACAACGTAAAATATTATAATTATTATTATTATTATTACAATTATTAATATTAAGATTCAAATTCAACCTGTTGCTTAACAGATAACCGTGGTGGGCGATTGTGGTAACTCTGAACCACAACCTATTAGGTTTCTGATACTAAAAAATGTCTACATTATTTTTCCTCGAAATTTGAATGAATTTGAAGTAAAACCATGCAAATTGATAATATTTGAAAATTAAAATAAAATAATGACTGAATATTTCAGACGAGCAAAATAGCATTAAAAACGGTGGGGAAACACGGAAAATGAATAATACGACGTTTTTGATTTCATGAGAATTTTGTTTATATTCTTCTAAAATTCACTTAGAATAATTTTGATTACATATGTCGCAACGTCTCGCATTGTATAGATTCGAGTAGATAATTTTTATTTTTGCATATTTGGCATATTTAAGTAGACATTGAATTGCATATTTCTATATAATTGCATAAAAAAACGTATTTTATAAATAATAAAAAAAATTTTAATTGTGTTCTGATTTATAAAATACATTTTTTTAAATTATTATATGTTTATTTTTAAAAATCTATAAAATCTGCATCCATCATATTATCTCTTCTTCTACTCTTGTTGAAGTTATTTCAAGGACTTATTGTCGTTACTGTTGATAGCCCATTGATAGCCCTACGTTCAGATAACTTGACTTACGGTATTAGTGTGGCACGATAACATAGAAATAGATTACAATAAATTGGGCGACGACGGTACTTTCATAATATTAGTGATAGTGGTATTATACTATATTTTATTCGTCATTTTTCTGTTCCGTATCAAATAATTCGGCTATTTAAAAAAAGGAGGAATAAGTACAGAGTTTGCTAAACTTAACTGTTGCAAGTATTGTTCAAAAACCACGGGTATTCACAAATTAAAAAAAAATTGCATAATAATAAGCGAAGAAATAAATGACGAAAATAAGGCATTCTAGAATGATTACTTGCAGGCATGTCTTGTTTTAAATATGTGCTTATAGTGTCTTGTGATGTAGAAAATAGTTTTTTCAAATATAAATCTACCTATGCTACTTGACAACCGAAAAAGTTTCTATTTTAAAAATCGGAAATCATATTTCGTAACTTCATTATTTCTTGTTGTTCATTTTGAATTTCAATAATTCATCAATCATTACATGTCTCGTAATTTTTAAATAGTAGTAAGTTGTAATAATTTATTCATACGATGTATTATATTTGTAATGATTTCTTTTTTTTGTATTTTTTACAAATTTTTTAATTTCTTTTATGTATAAGTATATGCGTATTCAGCGTAATTTTTCTGCATAAAAAAATCAACTAGTAATAAGCATATACATTAGTTCCAAGTTTTATAATAGGTTATAATTTTCCATCATATAAGAATGATTTTATGATTTCCGGGTATGACTCTTGTACAGTTTCAGATACTCAGCGGACATTTTTTTCTCTAAATTATTTCCCATACCATATCGTTACGACCAAGGGCACTACACCTTATATTCAGAAAGAGAGAAACTTTTTTAACTGAAAAGAATGATTTGTACCTACATAATTGTAACGGTAAACATTGTTACCAGAATGTCATCACTTTATCTACTTGCTGCGACCATAGATCCACGAGTTTATTCGTTAGCGGTTTAGAAAAAAATCCTATAACAGTGTCACTAAATTCTATAAAAACATTTTTAGTGTTAAGTCTTAGATTTCGGCACCACTAGTTATGACTAACCATATTTTAAACAAGCGCCCGACGATGAAATATTGAACAAACCGACGAAAATATAAATATATATGTACACCTCGTGCGAATACATAAACGCGAATGCCTCACGGGGTTAGGGTATTTCGTAGAGCCTTTGTAATGATATTACAGAGTTCTATCGAGATCCCAAACGTAATAAAATGAAATAAAATAAATTGTGTCGTATTATCCGTTTTGACGGTTTACCATCACATTTTAAGGCGTGAATTTAATTATTTGTGACGATCTCGTTTTTGTTTGAAATTTAACTGTGCACCCATACGCTATCTGTGAACATTCGAACCGCGCCCGATGTTTCCGCCGTCCCCATCAATAGAATAGATACGCACTGACTAAACGCACGGCCGATAACCAATCTATAATTGAAGTATGCCGACTAGCAATCGTTTTGTTTTTCCTTGATGTCACTCCGCGGAAAACCTCAAAGACAGCGAGTCTAGGGTGCTTTATTCTCTGCCTTTTTATTTTATAATTATGTATTATTTTATTTACTACTGTGTGAGACTTGTCATCAACATAAAGTAGGCACCTCCTAAAATCATCTACGGACGGCGATCCCGGTGGATATGTGTAAGTGCAACCGTGATGAGATGTAATGTTATAAATCTTAATTTTAACCGGTTTATAAATAATTTATTTCCTGTTATTTTGTTTTTATTATATAGCATATATTTATTTATTTTTTTTGTTCATAATGGGATAACCATAAAGTTGTTTTGTTTTTTATTATGAATATTGTGCTGATGCACTCGTTTACTTATTTTAACTACTCTTATTTGAATATTTTTTTATTTTTGATTATTTTCTTAGTCCGAGTTGTATGCCCGGAGCTTTCTCAGTACAAACGTAACAAAAGCATTTTTTTTTTTATTAATTGCAATTCTTGTAATTATTATTATTATTATTATTATTATTATTATTATTATTATTATTAT